GCAACCCACGGGGCGAGGTCTTCCAGGGAGGACTGGCACCCATGTGCAGCCAGGCTGGCCCTGAGCTCACTTTCTAACCCAGGCTGGTCTCGAACTTGCAATCACCCTCCTACCTCAGCCACCTGAGAACGCTACCCTAATCCTAAGCACCTAGCCCTGCCCTCATACTACCTTTATCCCTAACCTGCTAACCTTACCCTGAGCAGTTACCACCTAACCCTAACACTACTCTTAACCCTAATCCCCTAACAACAACCAGCTAACCCCACGCTACCCTTGATGCTAACCACAAAACTAACCCTAACCCTATCCTAAAACTAATGCTGGCTCTCCATAACTCTAATTCTACCCCTAATCCCATCCTAACCCTATCCTTAACCCTGAGCACCTGTAATCCCAACAATCAGGAGGCTGAGGTAGGAAGATTTCTGTGAGCTCAAGGCCAGCCTCAGCTATATAGTGTGTTCAAGATGAGCCTGAACTACTCAGTGAGGCCCTATCTTTTTTTTTTTTTTTTTTTCCGGAACTGGGGATTGAACTCAGGCCCTTGTGCTTGCCAGGGAAGCGCTTATTCCACTGAGACATCTCCCCGGCTCCAAGGCCTTATCTTTAAAAGCAAAATACCCTAAGCTTAAACCCACCCTTAACCCTAACACCCCTAACCCATAACCCACCTAGCCATAATCTCTAACCCTAACCTAACTTCTCTAACCCTAACAACACTCTTGTTATTTCTTTTTCTTTCTTTCTTTCTTTTAATATTTTAAAACCAAAGCATTTGACTGATTGCTGCAATTTTCAAGATGAACTGGAGCTGCAACTGCTGCTCTTTTGGGAATCTGCGATATACACTTTTTAGGTGCCTCATTCGACTGGTTCCGGTGGTATTTTAGCTTTTAGCCTTTGCACTCCAGTTATACTTTCTCTTGCGCTTGGCGGGATAGCCACATTTGCCACAAGTCGACTTCTGAAGGTGGCAGGCCTTAGAGCCACAGCGGCGGCACAACGTGTGCGTCTTATTACGACGCTTTCCGAAGGATGACGTTCCCTTCGTCATCTCGCTTGTGCCGCCAAAACCAAAGAGCTTTTTGCTCTTTTTTGAGACAGGGTCTCACTATGCAGTTCAGGCTAGTCTTGAACTCAGAGATCCTCCTGCCTTGACCTCCTGAGTGCTGGGATTACAGGCATGCACCACCATGCCCAGCCAACAGACCCCGACTCCAATTCTAGGGCCTAGATGGGGTCACCGGGTTATGAGGCCAGACTAGAAGCTGGTATGGTGGATGTGCGGGGGCGGCGGTCTGCAGGAGTCTTTGATCGGCGAGGCCCCTGCTAGCATGACCGGAGGCACCTCTGTGGGTCAGGCAAGGCCTTGTGGAGGTGTGACCTCAGGAACGGAGCCCTTTCCTGGAGCTGCAGTCCCACAGGGGCAGGCTAGTGACTGGGAGGGGCACTTCCTACACTGCTGGGCAGACGGGGCTGTGCCCTAAATGCCCAGGGACCCTGATGGGGAAGCCCAGGTGGAGTGGAGAGCAGCCCCTCCTCACTCCGCACCTTATGCTGGAGTCAGGGTGACCCTGGGCAGGCCGGGACCCAGGTGCACTGCAGGGGGCACTAAGGACCCCAGCTCCCAGCCCAATCCAGCTCACCACCCCAGGCTGGGATTTGAGGAGCCGTACCTGGGTGTTACTGGCCCGGCACTGGCCCCACTTCCTGCTCTCTAGACTGCTAGGGGCTAGGC